CTATAAAAGGGTGACCACAGAATTTTTTCTGGTTCTAAGGTAAACATTGAAAGGATGGCAGTTCTGAGTCTTGGAATTCAGACATTCTTAATAACAGTCCTTGAAAAATTACTTATAATTCACTTAACACCAGTGTTTGTCATTTAAAAGACAGTGTGATCTAGGACACTGGCTTGGAAGCCCGTAAGTTCCTGCATAATAAGAACACTTCAGCCACTAACTTGATGTTGAATTAGCAAATCAATTCCCTTGTGTTTCAGCCAATCCACTTACAAATAAAGGTGAGAACATCTGAAACATAAGATTTCTGTGGCTTTGTGGTTACAGAACTCCATTCAACTACACAGAATTTTAGCTGGATTTAAAGGCAGTCCCTCAAGGGCAGAAGGGGAGCTTAGGTGAACCCAGCCTCCATTTAAGAGTCCAGGGTTGGACAGGCTGGTAGAAGGACTATACAGTAAAAGGTCTGATCTATCCAGCCCATTAAAGCCAGTCATATTGCATCAGGAATCAGTTTGGCAGTCTGGTATAGGTAGCCTGGACAGTTTGATTCCCACATCTTTTCAGAAACTGACTCAACCTTGGGGAAATCCATCTGGCAGGTCGAGCTGGGGGCGAGCTAGGATTTGGGTATTTCCATAAGCTAAGGATGCAACCATTAGATGACCTCTTCTCTGTGGGATCTCTTTCCTCAACCACGTCTTGGTAGCATAGTCTCTAGCTATGGAATGATATCATCTGGCTAATCACCTTAGGGGATATTCTCATTTTTTCCCCTTTGGTGGGCTGGAGGAATATTGCTGGTCTAGCGTCAGGTGAATAATGTCACAATTATAGTCTACCTCAAAATTGAACTGTTTTACAAAAATGCCCATGCGGAAAACTTGCTTCACCAACATACTTAGGTGTGGATAAGACTCGATAAGACAAGACCCTATGCCAGAGATGGGTGCAAAGGATCTGGAGTTGCCTGTAATAATGTATCAGTAGACTCACTTACTGCAGTGTATGCATAGACTGAGATCATTCCATAGCATGAATATCAATACATGCACCCAAAAAGGTCCAGTGGGGGAGAGGAGGGGAGGGAAGGTGTGACTTCTGAAACATAGGTTGCAGCAAATACTCAAGCACCATTCACTTCCATGTCCTAGCTCATCCCTACTGGACCTGCCAGACACTTTTCTCCAGGGTTGAGTCAGTCACTCTGATGTACGGTAGAAATCAAAGTATCCGTGGTGAGTTAAAGAGAGGTAGTATCTCCCTCAAATGACACACAGCTGTCTCTGTAACTTTGGCTGACATGTTGTCTTGGTGGTGGCTGATGTTGTGGGGGGTCCATGTAAACTGTAGTTACGTAACCTCAGCTAACACTTCCAGCCAGCGGCAGACAAGGGGCCTACTCAGTTGCACATCATGAGTGAAACAACGGATATCCTTCCCTTGTTCTTTTTCTCAGTATCTAAATAAAGGGAAAGAGTTTTCAAACTGTAAAGCCAATAGATGTATGGGACTTGGTCCTAGAGCCTGAGACAAGTATAATCCCTAGAGATGAGACTGACAGTAAATGGCTATCTGGTGCGGTGGTTCATAGGCTAGTTGCACCAAGAGACTGCAGAGATCTGAGAAAGAAGTTAAGGCATCAGCCACTGCACCCAGGTCTACCAGATGAGCCATTTGTAGTGGAGTGTGCAAGGGAGTGTTTTTTTTAATTAAGTTAAACTTTCTGGTAATAGAGCACTGTGTGAGCTATACTAATGGCAGCAATATGATGGTATCAAGCCAGCTCTGAATATATGCAATAAACAAGTTTAAGCATCTAGTCAGGCTCAAAGGAAAAGCTTGCAATGAAGAAAGGGAAATTGAGTCACCCTAGTCAAGTTGGGCACTTACACATGTGCAGGTATCTTGCTGGGATCCTATGACACCAGCTGACTTCCTCCCCTCAGGCAGGGGGCTGGATTCAATGATCTTTCAAGGTCCCTTCCAGCCCTAATGTCTATGAAATCTTACTCCTAAGTGATAGGTAGTTCTCTGCATTTGATTCAAAGGAAAATTGAGGCACATACAAAGGATGAATCGATGTTAGCAAGATTTCCAGACACACTTTCTCCAGTTCCTTTATGTCATACGAATGTCCTACTCCCCAACAATTCTCACCCATGTATGACCACCTGTTAGTTCAGCTGTGAAGTACTGAATTTGGAGATAAGCTGGAGTCCTGAAACCGAAACACAGGTGGGGAAGAGATCCTCACTTACCATTGAAAAGGGTTCTGAAAGTAGGCTGTTTCCAGAAGACTGGAGTGTTTCTCAAGAGAAGATTCTCATGCCTGGGAAAACTCCAATCTATTGGCATACTGTAAATGAAACACAAGAAATAGGTGTCTAAACATGGACAAACTCCATCAGTAATTTTAGATCACTAAACTAACATGTTTTAGCAACTTCAGATTGCAAAAATGGCACATCAGTAAATAATTTCCTCAGGTTATCAAGGAAGTCCTACTGAACCTATCCTTTCCTAGATAATCTTTACATTCTTCTCCGCCCCTGGGAGATTCAGTACCAAAATCTCCCACAAGATTGGGTGTATTAATAATCATTCTATCTGGTTTTTTCCCGCCTTTTCAAAACACTGAGTCATATTCCATTTAGGCTAACTCTAACAGGGATTCTCCTCTGAAGGGAACTACTGGATGTGTGTGTGAATTTATTCAGATCTCTAGTGTAGGGGTGGCCAACCTGGGGCAGCTTTCATGTGTAGCACATGGCAGATCAGGGAAGGGACAACATGGTAGCAGATAGGGCAACAAGCAGAAAGCTGAGCAGCAGACTGGCAGGGGAAGGGGCTCAGAGTAGTGTTTGAGAAGGGTGCAGGCCTACTTTGTGGTATATGCTTATTGATACAATTTCTTAACGGCTTTTATCATTTCTGTATTTTGTGCTCCTCTATTTTCAGCAAGTTTGTGACTGTAGAAACAACTCACTTTGAAAGCACAGCCAGTAGGAATGGGCCACTCTGTGGGAAATCTACTCCTGTTCTGCCTGAACAATACAGCCTGTTATAGTTGGATGGCTTTTCTACCTGTGACAGCATTTTCTGTTTTACGCACTACCTAGGTCCAGACTTTTCATAATCAAGTTGTGGTATGATTGTTCAAGGTATTCACATATAAACAACTGCAGTGACAAGTGTGGGAAATAGTGATCCCGGACTGGTGAACACAGACTATAATTGTAAACACAGTAAAACTATACATGTATTGGCATTAGCAGATTCAACAGAAAGTAACTTAAGACTCACACATATGGATTCAACACACTCACATCTCACAGGTTGCACCTTTCTATAAAGTGAGTGTAGCGAGGTGAGACAGTGTCCTGCTTACCCTGGAGCCCATTTCTCCCCTGGCAGGATACAAAACAACTGCCTCTGATGTCAGCGAGAGTTACTTGTATCCTGCCAGAGGAACCTGGCATGCTGGAGACAGAGCTTTCTACAAACAGAAAGGAGATGTAGCACGAAGTCCAAAAGCAGCTTCTACAAACCCACTCACTTTGCCACATGCATCTACTCAGACCTGAAGGAAAAGCTTACAATGGAGAAAGGAGAGTTCAGTCACTCTGGTCAAGTCACACAGCTTCTTGCAAGTCAGGTGGTAGATTCTGCAATGTAGTAGTTTGTGTCTCCCTCTCCCCCCATATAATTCCTCTCAAACAGGCTGTGAAACAGATATCAGATGGGAGCTTCTTTCAGTCACCTAACATGAGGCAGAATCAACCTCAAAAGCTCCCTAAACCAGGGTGGGTCACATGAGACATCTCCTTCCTTATTTACAATCTCTCCAACTGTCAAGAGCTGTGATTCTGTATCTCTTCCTTTACCACCCTGCACTTTCTTGAACTGTGACACCAAAGGGCTTTACCACTCTGGAAACACACGAAGCAAACCTCGTAATGAGGCAACTCAGGGAGGAGCTTCCAACATGACTTTAACATCTAAAAATTTATACTTTTTGCATCTGAAAAGGAGACAACCGAGCGAGAAAACCAAGAGAAACATAGCCATTCCAAACCTATAAATCTACCAGGGACTTAAAAGAGGCTGCTTGGATGTCTTTACACTTCAGAGACAGCTGATCCCCACTCACACTGCATGTCTTTTCTCTACCCAGGGGATAAAACCACACAGCTGGGAACGGGGAGCTGTCAGCTCCCTGCATGTGGAGGTGGTCGACCTGTCAGGGAGCTCAGGAAGTGCTTGCAAGACACGTCCTCCCCAAGGGGCCTGAGGAGACGCCCGCGTTGCTGGACAGCTCTACACCCCGAGCTCTCTCACCGCATCCTTCTGCCTTTCACCCCAGAACCACGAGCCCATTGCATTTGGATGCTCATGGCTGGTGCTGGCGCATTAGGTCTCCAAGGTGCTACCTTGCCAACTGGTACCTGCCCCGGCCCTCAGTGCCACCCTTTGGGAAGCACCTCCCGAGCAGGGTCCCCGGCAGGCCGAGCCCACCAGGCGCGCGGGTCTGAGGCGCCGCGTTCCCGGCGGGCCCGAGCGAGCAGGGGGTTCCGAGGGCCCCGGGGCGGCAGTGCCACGCGGCCGGCGCGGGCTGGGGCACGACGACAGCCCGCCGCAGGGGACAGGTCCCCGGGGACCCGCTGCTCGGGGCGGGCCAAGGGCGCAGGGCCGCTCTCGCCAGGCTGACCCCGGGAAGGACGAGGCGGCAAGGAGCGAGGCGCCCTGCCTCGACCCAGCCGGCACTAGCGCCTGGCAACGAGGGAGGGCGACGACCGGAGCGACCCCCGGAGCCCGGCAGGGGGCTCAGCCCAGCCCCGCGTCCCAGTACCTGCTCCACCGCAGCGCGGCCCCGCACACCCGCCTCATGGGCGCCGCCATCTTGCCACCTCCGCCCCGGCAGTGCGGGGGGGCGGGGACAAAGTGGGGCGGGGGCTGCTGTTGCTGCAAGACAACGCGTACCGTGCTGTGGTGTCGCGTCAACCGCGCTAGGGTCCCCCGCGCACTAGTCTGATGGATGGAGCTGGTCCGTGAGGTGCATCTTTGCCTGCCCTGCCCGGGGGCTGACATGCCCGCAGGATGACACCTCTCGCTAGACACGATACCCCCGTGCCTCTCTCGGTTGTGTTTCCTTCTCTTGTCCCCGGCTCCGTCCTTCTCTGCAGGCGGCTTCTCTTCTGCAGCCACCCCAGCCTCTGCGGGCAAGGGCAGCTCGACAGGGGTACCGGCAGCCCGTGCCCCTCAGGTGCTGCCACCCAGGGGCCCAGCCCCACAGGCCCCTGCGACATGTTAGCTATGTGATGATGCAGCTCACTAGTGAATCCCGCAATCAATTCAGGCCAAGCAAAGTAGCTGCCATACTATAAAAATGACTGTCCAGCAAAGCAGCTTGTACTTAAAAACATGTCACAGCTCTACAGCTGGTTTCTCTCCAGATTTAATTTGAATGTGTAGTGTGGCCCTCGGGGGGAGCGAGTCTCTCTGAGCTGGAAAGGGGAATGACCAAGCTCCTCGCTGTCTGCATGGGCCCAGGAAGCCTGAGCTGCCTGTGCTGGAAGCCTGCTTATGGGAACTGAGGCACCAACAAGCAATATGCTTTCATGCTGCCTGAAGTGAAAGAGTCAGGAGAGATGATTTAGCCCCCAACAGGGGCCTACACACAGTGGCACAGAAAAAGCTCTAATGCTTTCCATCTGTGCCTAAGAATAGGGCCCCTGGCCCCTCCTTTGCCCTCCCCCCACTGCACACATGCTCATACCATCCTCCTTCAATCTATGCTGCTGTCTTTTTTTCCCCCTGTTTTTTTGTACTGGTGCCTAAATCCATTTGTTTTCTTCCAGCAGCTTCAGTCATTGCTTTGGAATCCCAGCTACGAAACAAGGCTTCAGAGGAGAGAGAGGGATCTTTGCAGTGCTGCTGCAATCATGAAGACAGGCACTGCACTAGTCTTGGCTACCTTCACCTTGCTCTCTTCAGGTAAGACTGGTGCAGGGGCAAGGGAGAAGGAAGACCCTCAGCTTCTGGAGCGATTATGGGTACACTAATTTTAGTGGTCATAGTGCTGGTTCTATTTGTTTTGGCACTAAATGGTTGTAGTTAGGTCTGTGACTGCTCTGACTGCTTTGATCCTTGTTTGAGGGTGCTCTGTCCCTTTGATCACTGGCAGATGCTGAATTCCATAGTGACTTTTGAAGCTGCTTCATGCATCTGTTCCTTGGCTCTTCACTGTTGATTCCTTTGAGTAGTTGGAGGGAGCTATTTGTCCTCTTCTGCTAAAAAAGTGAACCTGTTCAGCTTGTGCCCCAACACCAGAACTACAAAGGGGGGGTGTGTCTTGAATCCAACTGCTCTATGATCAAAGCAAGTAGAGCAACATCTGATCAAATTGCCAGCGTGAGTAATTAGTCTTTAACATTCCAAAATAAAGTGTTAGTGATCTTGTGCAGTCCACTCCCCTTTTCCTACTAAGAGAACATTAAAGTTACGCAGTTGGGTACTTAAAAGTCTGGAGGCTACAATGCTGACGTTGCACATGCAAGTTTCCTATTCTCTTTGGCCTACTTTGGTGTTTACTATATATACATGGTACTTAACATGTATATGATCCTCTCAGTTGCATGATTACCCACTGTTTTGCTTATAATGTAATTTTTTTCTTGACCTTCAAACACAGAACATCTTTTTTCACCATGTGTGACTATATCCCAGATGAAAGTCTTTTATGTGAAGCATACACAAAAAGCTGTACTTAAAAACATGGCAGACTAATTATAGAACCTAAAACAAGAGTGAAAAATTGCTAGCATCTACAGGCCATCTTAGATGCCAACCTGAAAGTATATACCTAATTTTATGCATAGAAAGTATTGCTTTGACTTGAGCAGGATTCCTCACCTACATAAAAAGTTAAGCCTGCATCAGTCCAAACATTTGCTGGATTGAGGTCTAAAGTTGTAACTAGTTTTGGAGCGAATTGCCTCATCTACATAAGGAAGACTATGTTGGTAGATAGAGCTGGAGGCTGACTGATTATATACTTTCCAGAAGAATCATTCCCATTAAAAACCCTGCTGCAAGAGACAGACCATTATCACAATCAATTTAGAATAATTGTACAAGAATTAAAAAAAATGACAGTGAGCTGTGCCTATGTATCTGAGTTTGTAAAAATAGTGTGATTTATTGTGTTACCTGACACTGCATACATAAGGAAATAATCAGAGGTTAGAACATGCCAGCATCTTTCCATATGTGCCTCGTGGCAAGCAAGAGAATTTCAGAATGCTTCTAAACTGTAATAAATATTTTAGAGCTGCCCTTCTGATCAAGAAAGTTTTAGATTTGGAGGTTTAGGGAGGGCCTCTCATAATTTAAAAGGAAAAAAAAAAAAACAGAAATGGAGAAATTGGTGAGAAATGGTGTTCCATTCAAATATAGAGTTTACTTCTACTACACTCCTCACTTCTTTTTTCTAATTAAACAAAGAAAAACTGGTCAAAACAGTCCTGTTCCCTACTGGGTTTCAGGTTTGGTTCTCATTCTTACCTTCTGGTCCTGCAGGAAAGAAGTTTCGATGGTGTACGCTGTCTGATCTAGAACAAAGGAAGTGCGCTGAGCTGTCTAAGGCTCTCTTGGCTGTCCTGCCTCTTGCTACAATC